CCGTCTGTAGCAAACGACAGCGAGCATGTTGGCGCACATGTGCGCGGATGTGCTCGTCGTGTGTAGCTACTGTAAGTGTAACGTAATGTGTTCATAAAGTAATGTAATATATTAGAAATGAAACATGGTGTGTTCTTAAAGTGATGCAATGTATTATGCCTACAATTGAACACAAGATGTACTAAAGGTGATGCCAGACGGGGCAAAACACATAATACATATCATGCTCTCCCTAGGATTATAATATATGTTATTCAAAACAATTGCATGCCATTTATAATACAAGTATTGTAAGAATGTTTGAAACTTTAAATTTATAATACAAATATTGTAAGAATGTTTGAAACTTTAAATTTTACAATTACATCATATGGAAACTAAAAATAAAATGTAATTAGTATATTAGTTGTCGACATCGGACTGATACGATTTTATAACTTTGCCGTCTTTGCGAGGCCGCAATTCTCTACCTGATTGAGTTCTTATTGTGTCATTACTTGACATATTTACCCTCCTGATCATTTGCTGATGAACAAGATATGGAGGAATTATTGCTTGCTTCGGCGTTGGCTTCATGTACTTCATCGCGGGTATGTTCAGTTACGGAAAATTCTCGTATCTGATCCAAGTGTCTCTTTGTCTCATGGTTGTTATGTGCTACGATGCAACAATAAGATCTTGGACCTAGTTGTTTTTTTATTGTAGCTTGAGTCCAATTTTGTTTATTTGGATCTCGGTAATCGCGAATTAATTCCTTTTGACCCTCGCAGAACTCAACGTTGCGTTTACCATGGTGGTTGCGAACATTAGGTTGTTGACTTTTAATGATATTTTCTTTCGTTAGAGGTGGTTTGAGTAAACTGAATCGCGTTTTTAAAGCTCGATTAAAAAATAGTTTTGATGGTGACTCGCCTGTGCTACAATGCTTTGCATTGCGGTAATCAAATAAGAATCTATTGATGATAACTTTTATGTTTGAATTTTTGTTATCCTTTAGATGTGCATGGATCAATTTTTTTACTGATTTTACAAAATTTTCGGCCTGGCCATTCGTTGCCGGATGACCTGGTGCAGTTAAAATGTGCCTTATGTTATTTAACTTCATGCAAGTTTTAAAGTCTTGTGATGTAAATTGTCAACCATTATCGCTCACTAACACGTCAACTAGCCCGTATCTACAAAATGCTTCTCTAAGCTTGCTAATAGCAAAGTTCGAAGTTATTTACTTGGTGAAGAATATTGCTACCCATTTGGAATAAGAATCAATTACAATCAGTAGAGTGTTTTTAATGGGTCCTGCGAAATCTACATGAACGCCGCTCCAAATCGATTCGGTAGGTGTCCAAGGAATTAACGAACTTAATTCTGGACTGGGCTGCACCTCTTGGCACGGAACACAGTTCTTTATCAGTGTTTCTATATGTTCATCGATTTTGGGCCACCAAACATAAGACCTAGCCAGTGCTTTGGTTTTGCTAATGCCTAGATGAGACCTATGCAATTCTTTAAGTATATGGTTTCTCCACTACTCCACATACTCCACTGTGAGTTCTAAATTGTTATTGATAAATGAGCGAAAATCATATCCCTTTAACTCTTTCACTGTACCATTCTGAATGGCCGCTCATAATTTAGACAATACAGCATCTCGTCTTGTCTCTTTGGCAATCACAGTATAATTAAAGTTTAAGTAATTCTCTGCTTCCACGAAATTTATAAAACTATTTTCTTTATGCTCTTTTTTGCATTGAAGTTGTGGAATTCGCGACAAACTATCCGCAGTGTTCGAACTACCCTTTACATATTCTATCGAGTAGTTAAAGCCTGAGAGAGTGAATGCCCACCGTTGCATACGAGCTGCTGCCATACTGGGCAAGCCCTTATCTCCAAATATTGACAACAGTGGTTTGTGGTCAGTGCGTAAAGTGAAATGACTACCTAGAAGGTACTGTTTCAATTTTGGGACACAAAAAATTGTAGCCAAGGCCTCTTTTTCAAGAGTGCTGTAATTTTTTTCATTCTTTGATAGTGCCCTAGAAACAAAGGCTATCGGTTTGATGTCATTGTTTGAAATTTTGTGAGCTAGAACCCCAGCGACTGCATTGCTACATGCGTCTGTCGTTAAAATAATGGGCAGATTTGGATTAAAATGTGTTAGGAGTCCTTTATTGATCGTGACTTAATAGTCATCGCAAATGCGCAATTCACCGTTTGGTTTTAAAATTGGCACTAAAGGAGTTCCCCACTCCGAATTATCCACGGGCTCTAAGACATTCTTAGATATTAGGTCTCTTAATTGCCTTTGTATCCGGTCTTTTTAAGCGAGTGGTAATGGTCGCAGCTTACAAAAAACTGGTTTGGCGTTTTCACACGCCGATAACGATATTTTGTTGTTTTTATAAAGGCCTAAACCATCGCTAAAACGTTTCGAAAATTCATCTTTAATTTGATCAGTGAGTACCGAAAAATTTCGATTGACACCGATTGAATTTATTTGACACAATTCGAATTTAAACGTTCTCAAAAATGTTCGTCGTAGCAACGGTGGATTTTTCGTTTTTGTAACTACAACTAAAACCATTTTTGTGGTACCTTGATACGTTATTTCAGCATCGTACTCACCGGATAAATCGATTTTATCCCCACTATAATATACATACGGAGTTTTACATGGCCTCAATATTCTTTCGTTATGCCAATTCTGGAAGAGTGACAGTGGGATCAAACTACACCGAGCACCGGTGTCACAAGCAACTTCCAATTTCGCACCATCAATGGTAATGAGTGAACATCATATGGACTCCTGCCGGATACGCCATAAACAGAAAAATTTAAATTATCATTAGAATCTACCTGGCTACTCTCATCAGAATCGGATAAGTAATTAATAGCTTTATTAGACTTAGAATAGCACACAGATGCCAAGTATCCTGCTTTTCCACAAGCGTGACATTTGCTGTTTTTAAATTTGCATTGATACGAGTCAAGATTTCGCCAGCCACAGTGTGAACAAGCTTTCCTGTAGCCTCTGTCAACATGTGACGTCTTTTTGTTGTTGCAAGTGCCTTTTTTGTTCCTGTCGTTGCTTCCCTTAGGCCGTTCAGCACTGGTACCGCCATCTCCACCGCTGCTTCGTATATGCTTGTTGCTTGCACTCCGTTTGATGTAATTGACGTTAGACTCTTCCGCGTGATTAACTTTTGAAGTTTGCTTTGATTCCATTATCAATGCCTTCCTGAGTGCAGTTTCAAGGGTTAAGTGCGCGTCTTCTTCGCACAATCTTTCAAAGATTCCTTCTGGTAAGCCCATGATAAATTGGTCTAAAACAAATGCGTTTAAATGCTCACCGAATTTGCAGTTCAGTGCTAACTTTTTTACTCTAGCGTACCACATGGAAATCGATTCATCACTGCCTTTGGTAGATTTGTGGAACATTTGCGCTCATGAAACACAATTGTTGGCGGTGTGTAGTAAGTATTTAAAATGCTACACAATTCCTTGAACGTTTTTGACTCGGCTACACAATTCCTTGAACGTTTTCGACACGGAATCTGGAGCACACAAATTGTGCAAAAGAGTGCACGGCTCCCATCCTACTAACTTTAGTAAAACCGCCTTCTTTGCATTGTCGTCAGTACAATTTATTTCACTAAAATGGATTTCTAATTTTTCTTTCCAGATGCTCCAAGTTTCCGTGCTGGGGCAGAATTCCGGCGCATTCGTCGCCTTTATCACAAAACCCGCTCCGTTAGCAGAATCATTTCTTGGCATCGCCTTAGTTGAAGTATATGTATATATACTTGTTCGTATACGAAAAAAAAAGGTATGTTAACTGTATATTCAGTGCTTAATAAGCTCCAATTATCTCGTCGCCAATACAATGACTTCATCTTTTAGATGTTAAGCTGCGAGTGCCCGCTTTATTCATATATCAATTATATATACATGCATAGTAGCGAGTTGGTGTAATATAATAGAAGTGTAAGGTAATGTGTTCATAAAGTAATGTAATATATTTGAAATGAAACATGGTGTGTTCTTAAAGTGATGTAATGTATTATGCATACAATTGAACACAAGATGTACTAAAGGTGATACCAGACGGGGAAAAACACATAATGCATATCATTTATAATTACCAAGATTTGGTTATAGTGACCAAGTGGCAAAATTTCGATATGGCGAAATAAATATCTAGTTCACGAAAGTCTGCAATTTACTTGACAAACTTGGGACAAATGTATATTTGTCAATAATTACAAAACGACTTCCTTGAGTGGACAATATTATTAGTTGAATAAAATCATTTTTGAGCAAATATAAACAATGCCTTGTTTGATACAAGTTTTCAATTAATTTTGTGAACTTGCTGTAGACTTGAATCAGCTAACCGATTATTACTGGAAAAAGTTTCAGTTTGACACAAATAAAGATTTACTCGATGGTTGTTATGTTTACTTTCTTCTTTTATTTGCATATTTTAAGCATAAAAAATAGGTACATATTTACATAAATAGTTACTAGAGTAAATAATACATATGTATATGGCGGTAAGAATTTCCTAAAAAGAAACGATGAAACAGGAACAGTCGTGCGAAAACCCAGGTCAATATCTGCTGGCAGTGCTGGTTTAAGTATACTGCTTTGCTTTTTAATTGGCTAAATAGATACTTTCAAATTATAATTCACATGAATTATATATCTACTGAGAAACCCCGGTTGGCATCAAATTTTATATTTTTAAATAACTGTGCGCACACCGAAACAACTCGCGGCGATGGCAAAACTGAAACTGAGACAAACAAGTCTGGGCATATCATAGCACACCCTTTTCTTTCTCTACCTAGCGCAGTGATCGACATGCTATAACTTACTGAGCGCCCTGTGACCACACGCGAGTTAGTGCAACAGAAAATACACTACTGTACCGATGACATCATCCAATGTATGATACAGAATCAGTAGTTTACATAAAAGATTCCTATTGAACATTATCAGCAACCAAAACATTCCTATTGAAGATTATCAGCAACCAAAAAATAAAACTGGACCGCTTCCGAAAAAAGCGATTACAAGTGTTTGATCAAGGCAGAGGAATCATTATGGAAGCAAGGGTAGTAACCTTGGAAAAAGCTTATGCTGCTGTAGAAGCACAATTAGCCCAGCTGCAGCAAGCGCAAGTACCAACCGATAAGTCCCAGGATAAACAATGCAAATGAAATAAATTTGAGACTATTCGAACGGCTAACAGTGTTCAACGGAGACACATCCAAATACAGGACATGGAGGGCAACCATCATATCAGCAATGAGTCCCATAGAAGCCTTTCGAGATACCAAACCATATTACGATGCATTATTTATAATACGTCACACGAAGATCGAAGGAGAACCAGCAACTCTTCTACAGAATCATGGCACAGTATTTCACTAACAAGCAATACTCAATCGCCTAGATTACAGCTACGCCGATACTAGAAGCTATAACGCCCTCATAGAGGAAATGAAAAGACAAATACAAGGAAGACAGACGCTATCCGAATTCCACAGCAAGATCTGTCAAATCTTTAATTTAGCAATGACTAAATGCGAAATTGATTACCCAGGGAATACTCACTCTCTACAGCAGGTCACAAAAGAAATGGCCATAGATTGCTTCCGCAATGGCATAAATGATGAATTTACTCAACACACATTATATGCAGCAAAACCAAGAGATTTAGGAAGTGCATACGCAATTGCCACGGAGATTCTTTATAAAAGGCAGAACAATCCGATACGACGAGAAGCTTATAACTACCCCAAACACCCACAAAACGAACGGAAGTATCAACCAGGAGTTCAACCTATTCCCCACATGGAAAGATCAAACCAATGGACGTGGATACATCAATAGGAAGATTCCGGCAACCCACGAATAATCAGCATCAACAACAGCAGTCGTATCAACAGAATCCCTTCAGAAACAACTATGAACGACAAAGAGCAAGATAGGCACCTTTCAATCCCAATAGAGGAGAACCATTTAAACGAAACCACCAACCAACGTCATCCAGATATAATATAGCACCACAGAAACTACAAAAGATCAACCAAATAACGGATAATAATAGTGATCAGTCATTAAGGGTAAATATAGATGAAAGCGAATTTGAAAATAGAGCTACTTTTTTAGACGAGTAAATAATCTGCCGTTTCTTCAGATTATTTTACATGATAACAAAAAACTATTAGTTTTAATAGACACAGGTTCGACA